CGAAATTCAACGTTTATAAATTTTACATATGTGTACGAAAAGTTCAGACATTCTTAAGACATCTTTACCGATAACCTTATTTTTGCAAAGATTGGCAAAGTTTTATATTGAACATAAGTCCTACATAAGCTGGTTTTAGACTTAAGATCCCTTTATTTTACGACGCCTAGAAAAACCCAATCCTGGCCCAAGGACACCTAAGTAGCTCTTGTAAAAAAAAGGTTACATGGATCACTACAGGTGTCTGTTGTGATCGATGCAATGTTTGGTATCATAAAGAATGTGTAGGCATGAACACATTAATTTACCAGGGGTTACATAATGCATCATGGGAAAGTGATCTTTGGGGTCTTCCAAATTGTTGAACTTCCATTTTAATACTTCTTCTTTTTGAGTACAAAATATTCATAAACATCTAAATGGCTCATTATTCAAGGAAAAGGTATGTGTAGTCCAACACCAACATCTTCCTCAGTACAAAATAATTCAAGTTCACGTTACGATCAAATTACACTAAGTTTCAAATATCACCTTTAAGGACAGATTATACAATCCAACTTTGTCAAAAATTTGAAAATAAAAACTTGAGTCGTGCTTAAATGAGTAAATGAATAAGTTCAACTTCTAAATTTCCTTTTTTTTATTCAAGTTCTCCATGATTGGGACATGAAGTGAAAAATATTAGTATAGATTAATAAGAATGGTTTCAGAGAGGTAGAATTTTGAACATCATAAACGTTTTACAATTTATATATATTCTAGCATGTTTTACAACATTTTCAATGAAATAAGCCAAACAAATATATACCAATCAAGGATCTAATTTTTGTATCATCTGTCCTTAAGAATGATAGTTTTCAATTGTCAATCCTTCAGATATAAAAAGGCAAATCTAGAGAATTTTGTTGCATCAACTTAACTAGATATAATCATAGGTAGTCATGGTTACACAAAGACATTCAATCATCAGAAGTTTTTCTTAGTGGCTTCACATGCTGACGAAATGATTGCAAATGTGACTGGGGTGTTTACATTTGTTTTCGATAAATACATTAGTTCAGAACTTACTGATCTGAAGTCAGATGTCACGAGAGAACACTCTTGGTTAAGCTGCAAGTGAAAGATTCACCAGATTTATAGTTTGCACTTTAAAACCTTAAATTGATGATAATTGGTTTGTTGGGACTGCTTTTTTGTTAATCTTAATTCAAATAGGCAAAGTACATGTAATTTATTTAAATACAATATTTATATATAAAAGTAGAAAAAAACTTTACTGAAGTAAATGAAACAAATATTTTGATTCTAAATGACGCAGATTTTATCTTATAGTAATTTCGTCTCCCTAAATAAGACTTTCCTTTTATCTGCACAACATTAATATTGAATAAATATTAATAAATATTGCTCATTTTTCGGTTCAATCTTGAAATTAAGATGCACGTCTTGTACACTATATCTTTTAGAGACAGGTCGGGTTTTTAAAAGTTCTCTGAAACTTCAGTTTCTTGAAATTTCATAAAATGTAGAGTATGGTTTTAAGTTTTAATTATGGTACTATTGTTATCTATAGTAAACTATACTTATGTAAAGTTAATTTTAGTAAAATATAGTTAACTATAGTTTACTATAGTATTTTGTGTTAGGGAACTCTTACATTAATTTAGTCACGGTGAAGGAAGGTATTTTCCCTCCCAAATGATAGACTTTATATGCGTAAAGTAGAACAAATTCTAATGTATTAGATTTTGAACAATTGGTCTTTTTAAACACACACACACACACACACACACCCACCCTCCCTCACACACACACACAGTGTGTGCTGGTTGTTGACGGGGCAAAGGGGGGGGGGTGATTAGAATAAATAAGGAAAGAATCTGTTCAAATTGTTTCTAATCAAAACAAAATACTCATTTTTTGCAAAATAGTTTTATATTAAGATGTTTGTCAGCGCTCACTTACACATGTACCTGTTTTAGTGCTGAAAGATCAATATTTATGACACAAGAGTACGGAAATGAAAGAAAACATATTTCTCGTTTATTTTATTATAAAGGTAGACTTTTTCTTTGGTAAAATAAAGAGATGCATCGTTTCTTTCAAAAAAATATGAATTACGTCATTTTCACACAAAGACTTTTTAAGATATAACCTGTTATGCATGTCTGAATTGTAAAAAATACGACAATAAAAACGGGTTGGTACTTACATATTGTGCTCCATTATAATTTTTCATGCGTGATAAATTTAAATGAATTTTCCTTCATTTTAAAGATACAAGTCATTTAGATTAAATATATGTTGAGTTCGAATATGATTTGACATTTTTGGTTCCCTTTATCGCATATTTGGAGTAGAACAATAATGTTTGAAAATATTCTATTTTTAGGAATTCACACTGTTTTTGTACGCGCTTCTGTTTAAAAATTAGCATAAAAAGGTATTGCTTTTAATGCCTTAAAAATACGAGCAACTGGTCAGGTAAGAAATGTCAATTTTTTAAAAATTTTACACAGAAACTTTTCGGACAAAGGTCCCCCTTTAGCAAAAACTTGCTCGGGGACTAAAAAAATTTGATAAGTATAGAATTAACAACCTCCACGCCGCACAGAAAATGTGTATTTGATAGTCATAAGATGAGCTCTTAAACTCTGAACATGGATTTAAATACCGTAAAGTGGAAATGTTTATGTCGATTAATTTTGGCGAATTAAGGTCAAAAAGCTGTTGATCAATTTTTACGTTTCAAAATTTTGCAAATTGTCATAAGCGCTAAAAATAAAAAGCACTAAAGATTTTCATGTTTAAGTTTTGATGTTTCACATTAGTTAGTTCAGTTGGAATTCCACCAATATACCCCCAACGTGGCAAAAAATTGCGGAATCGCTCAAAAAAAATTTAAGATTACGAAAGGATTTGCACTGAAAATAACTTCCAAATTAAATATAACAAACGTTTTTGAGACTATGTTTGCAGTTTAGCCTAAAATATAACCCCAATAAATACGAAAATTGAACTAATTTTCTCAACGTTTTTCTTACCTAAAGTTTACACCCCGTGTTTACATTTGACACTCTCTAGTAAATGCACTGAGATATCGAGTTATCGCCCGTGTTTATTAAAGACGGTTAAATAAAATAACTGGTTTCTCTTTCTGGTCAGGTTAATTAAAATGGGTCACACTGCCTCGATCAGTGCCAGTCATACAATCGGATGTTATTGCATATAATGAGGGCAGTTTACACGCACAAGTAATTAGTGTCGCAGTTGTATTCCGGAATTCGGAGTATCGGCCATGAACAAGCTAAATATTTGTTGAACTATTTTTGTCAATTAACCTGTTCCTGATTTATTCAACTTCAGTTTCTCTAACTCTCTTATTTCAGTGAATTCTTAGCATCGGGTTGATAATCTAATTTGTGAATTAACATTGTAGAATACTTGTGTATTTAATATTTTCTTTGTAGTGAATAAAATAGTATTTGCTACCTGGTGTCCAACGAAATAAGCGTGGACGGTTTATCTACTTTATCCCAAGGGGGGCATGTAACACCTGTGGTGGCAGAGGATAGTTTCGAATAAAGTACCTGTCAAAAAATAGAAAAAAAAATAGAGAGACCTGAGGTTTAAATGCATATTATAGGTAATTTTATAGCTAGAATATTTTATGGGTGCATTTGGAGGGAATGGGTGGCCTTATATATTTTATTGAAATATGACACTTTAGTGTCACTACTACTGTATATGGGATATGGACTAAAAATACGAAACTATGCTCAAAACTCGCTCTACCGGTATTTCACCAGAAAAGCGGGGTGGGTTCACAGGATGAATTGTAGCTTGAAAACGAGGTGGTTGAGCCATTATCTCTTGCTGTTCATTGGTATGTACAAATGTTATCCTGCAATTTGTGTGGTAGCTTAGGTCATTAGCACGGGCCTGGAAGCAGATGCGGCTGCGGCGATATAGTGAAAATAGGCTTGATTCACATGACATTTTGAGATATTCCCTGCGCAATCTTTAGGGCTCATTGTGTAAGTTGTACATGTTTTATTCCTAAAAGCTTTAAATTTCTCAGGGGACTACATCATGCTATTATCACATGTAGAGGGAATTCAAAATTTTTCAATGCACATTTTAAAAGCAGCTCAATATTAAGTAAACCGTCACTCAAACGTTTTGATTGCAAAAAAAAAAAAACTATCCTCTGCCACCTGGGGTCTAAGTATATGTGGGGAGTGCCGAGCACGCGGTATGGGACAGAACAAAGAAGGATGTTGAGATATGCAGACGTAGTTAGTTTTGAATGTACATCGGTACAAGAGTTAGGAATATTGGTGGAGTTAAAGCTCTATATTTCCTAGTATTTAACTATTATAAGACAAGAGGGTTACTGGACTGTTTGTCCTGCTTTAATATTTGTGGATTTGCGGCCTTTTGAGGGCGGCTGATGAATCGGGGTCGAACTGTTTGAAGTGTATGACAGTCGCTTTACAGTGTTTGTAAAGTGTGGGACCCTGTGTCTTGTTTTATTGTGTGTGTCTCTGCGGTAGAGCACTGGACCTTTTTTTTTTCTTGTTTCGTTGGCTTAGTATGTTTTCTTGACATGTTTTGTGAATACGTTGAATATATTTAGTCTGTATATACGATGTGCATATTTGTATAGTTAGGCAGCGTGCATAAGTCTTAGTTTTATCCCTAATGTCTGATTCTTATCAGACCCGATACCTGAGTGTTGTAGGGAGTCCGATTTGGCTCTAATCCGTCCCATACACGTTACATTTGCTTGTGGTATAAACAACTGTTTTCTTAAAATGACCAGTGCTTACGGATACCTGTCCAATTAGTTAAAATAAACCAAAGCTTTCAGTAAAGTCTTTGCTGACATATTGATTTATTTTGAAGAAATTATTTTGAGAATGCAATGCACGCGCTAATTTGCTAAAAATGTATCAATATTAAAAAATTCCAGATTTAGGGTATGTCAATTCCAGACCTCAGCACATGTTCTCGCTGTCAATTAGTTTAGATAAATCGTCTTTAGCTATTTGCATATTTTGTTCCAAACATTGTACTCTCTGAGCAGTTTTGGCTAATTGTTTGACTTCATTAAGCATCCTTATTCTTATTCCTAAGCCTTCTCCCCTATCCATCTCTTCAGCTTTTATCATTAGATCAATTTGTTCAACATTTGAAAGAGGATCAGGCCTCAAAGCTATTTCTTCCAACCTATTTTTGCATATCGACATTTCATACATCATTTTACTTGTTGTGTTAAAAAGACGACCTGTGTCATCTTCAATACCCTCTAAATATTTTTTTTGTTTCATTTTCTCATCCTTTGCCTTTTCATAAAGTTTTTTCTTGTTACTTTCGAAATAATTTTGGTGCTTTTTGAAAAGCATTATTGTATTTTGTAATTCATTAAGTTTCAGTAAACCTGCATTTACCAGGGGTTGAATATTTATCAAAATCAACTGCAGATGCTGCTTTTCTTTTAGTACCTCTTTGGTTTGCATAACGCTCTTTGTTTTAAATGATTTCAGTTTTTCAAAGAAATTTTTAAAACTTTTACAACCCATTTCCCAGAACAAATAGGATAAGGAAGTATTCAGTAAATTCTTATTGCTTGCAAACAAAGCAGAATTATTGAAAGGAAACCATGACCCAAAGGGAATATTGGCTGCTCTTAGACAGGAGAGAACTGGAGGCTCGTTTCCTTCTGCAAAAGTTATCAGTGTACAAATGTTTGACTGAATGTCTTTTCCAAGCATTGACATTATCGAATGAAAAATATACGTTTGGTAAGCTGTTAAGCGTGCATCAGGGGCTTTGACAATTAAACAAACAGCATCTATGAATGCTACACCTTGTGTGCCTTCTGCTGAAAATAAAAGTCTAATTTGATCAACGATAGCTTTGTCTCTCTGGATTCCACGTCTATCTCCAAACCCTGGGGTGTCTATGATGTTAAGAGTGTAGTCTAGCCGACTTCCTTCTTGTGGGGTGATCTTGTATACGATGATCCATTCTGTTGGAGACTCTGCCTACGTGAGAATAATAGTAATTATATATAAATATATGCTCCATTACATAAATTGTAAACATTTTTTTTATTTATATCTGTCTTTCAAAATTAAGAATTGTTGTGTCTTTTGATGTTTGTTTAAAGAACTCTTAATAAGCACATCACGTGAATAGAAAATGCATCACAAAGGGATATTCAATAGTCATCCTGGTATAAAGGAGTTTATTGCGTAATTATTTTAGCCAGCAAGCTTGATGAGACTTATGTAATTTTGCTATGTTATTTACTAAGTATTAATTTACACTTACATGCAATTGAAGTATTTATTTACACTTACATGCAATTGAAAAAAAATCAGTTCAATTATCCCATTTACTCAAAAATGTGTTATGATAATTTGCATTCTTTTTCTAATGACCCTACCTCTAATATAATATGTGAAAATATTTACCTGATTTTGTGTCTTCATTTCGTCATGCTCTTGGCTTACCAGTGTGAATCGAAAAGGGTCTTCGAATCTGACACCCAAAATATAATTTATTATACCGTCCACCAGTGTGCTCTTTCCCGAACGTGTCGCACCAACTAGCATAATTGTTTTTTCACATTTATTTCCAATTGAAAGGTTTCCTAACGAATTAAATCTTGTTTTAGTACAATAAAGTGAAAAATAAAATACTGAAGTGTTTTGTTTTTATAAAATTTTGAAAATTTGAATATACCTAGAAAAAGTTGTCTTGTCTTAGCAGGGGGATTGCGGGCCTCTCTATTTTCGAAGGCTGCTAATTGGTATTTTACAGGGTCGGTATTTGGAATTTTGATAGAGAAACTAAGCATTTTTGTTGATAAGGATTTTGGTATATTGATGGGATCGCTTTGTTCACTGTAATCTCCTTCCATGTCATTGGTAACACTACGAACTTGGAATACGTATGTGGTATCAGCCATTAGTCCACTTACGGTGAATCTGTTAGTTGTGTCATTTGTATCACAGAACTTCCATTTATCATTCTCCTGCTTTTGGTTTTTATATCGGATTTGATAATAATCTACTTCCTCTAACGCTTCCCAATACAACTCCACAGAATCAGACTTTATTTTCAATACACTTGGTTTACCCCGTATCTAGAATGAAAAAAAATGGTAATATTTCAATAAAAAAACAAATATTGAAAAATCACATTCAGTAAAGGTTTACAGGTGAAAACAAATTTCAAAATATGTTACCTTGGTGCTAAAAGTATAATATAAACCTTAGAAAAATATACCAAGCTGGGTGAATTTTAAGAGGAGAAACAAAATGACAAAAAATTAGCAATATTACATAGGCTGATTTTACAAATTAGCTTTTCTTAATAAAATTCACCTGGCGTGGTATATTTTTCTTCAGTATATATTACACTTTTAGCACCAAGATAACATATTATGAAATTTGTTTTCACCTGTAAACCTTTACTGAATGTGTTTTGTCAATATTTGTTTTTTCATTTAAATATTACTAATATTTTCCAATTGTTTTTCATAATCCTGTTCTTAGGAAAACAAAATCTAAGAACCATCCACTTTTCTAAACTTGTGACATGATATTTGATCTTTTTCAAAGAAAAAAATTGTTTGTATCATCTGTCATTAAGGGAGTCAACATTTCCCCCCTCACGATTACATGTAATGAGTATAAATGAAATTATAAGAAATAAACTTGGTGGCTTTAAACGTAGCTTTGTGGTTTATAATGCGTTTAATGCGTATAATGGTTTAAAGGCAACCTAGTTTATTTCATACAAAATGTGTACCTATCAAATCTAATATTTAATCTTTAATATTGAAGTTTTTTAATGTAAAAAAGTAAAAATTGGCCATTAAAAAAACAAAACAGTATATACCCTTTTCTTTGTTTCCACAAGTTCTTTATCTTTGCTATTCTCTGGGACGGTCATATTATCCAGTCTGAGTGAAATATACAATCAGTTATCAGAATCAAGACATAGCACTCTTACTTTTATATATAATATTCCAAGCTTTGCAAATGAATAAGTTAAGATGTTTCTTCATATAGATTATGAATAAAATTTTTTGCCAAAAGAAAATTATCCTTTTAATGCAGCCAATCTTTGACAATATAGAAAGATGTAAAAACAACACAAACTTT